TTCCTTCTTCCTTCCTCGCCGCCCAGAGTCTGCAGCATCTTGGCCACGTCGCGCACCCCTCCCGGGTACTCTACGCACACCAGGCTTCGCTCCCGCCGCAGGTCCAAGGGGATAGCGGCCGTCGAGTCCGCACCGGCCGTCTCCGCCGCCATCCCTGCTCGTCTGGCCGGGCCGCCAAGGTAAGTCCCCTAGGGCGCCCCCAGAGTCTTCCTTCCTCGCCGCCCAGAGTCTGCAGCATCTTGGCCACGTCGCGCACCCCTCCCGGGTACTCTACGCACACCAGGCTTCGCTCCCGCCGCAGGTCCAAGGGGATAGCGGCCGTCGAGTCCGCACCGGCCGTCTCCGCCGCCATCCCTGCTCGTCTGGCCGGGCCGCCAAGGTAAGTCCCCTAGGGCGCCCCCAGAGTCCTCGCCTCAAAGGTTCCGCTAAGGAATCGTTCCGGCCTCTCCCAGCACTCGCGTCTCCTTAAATCCTCAGGTTTAGCTATACTTGAAGGCCTCCGGGGAGCAAATGCCAGAAAAGAAGCCCCGTAGAATTCGGGATAAAAGGCGGCTGCGTTCTCGACTTTTATTTAAAATGAGTAGGATTGGCTGAGGGTGGGGCAAGAGAGTTCTCACCAGCCAGCCAGGGGAAAGATTGTAAGACACCACCGATGCTAGCCAATAAGAATCCGGGATCAAGCGAAACTATCCAATGAGGAGACCTGAGGAATCAATTTGGTCGGGTTCCGGTCCTCTCGTTTCACCCAATGACAGGTTGGGGGCGTAGATTTACGGCCTGCCTCCGAGCGCCTGGAGTTGATTTCCGGTGCCCAGGTTGCTGTCCCAGAAGTTCCGCCGGCCAGCCAAAGACCTGGTTTCAAGCGACGCTTGACACCGCAGGGATTTATGCGTGGAGATGGCGAGAGCGAGGAATGGGTGTGCTAAATGCTCCCCTCTCCCCACACATAGAAGACCCCGGGGGACAGGATGCAGACACCCCACTTGGCTTCTTAGACGGGCGTTGAGCACCTGCTGTCGGAATATGTCGTTGCACAGGAAGGCGCAGCCAGGAGCCCCAAATCTGAAAGAAAGGCCCCCGCTGAGAGAAGGAAACCACCTATTAAGACAGAATTTAACATGGTGGGCCCTGACTGCCCTCAGCAATAGGACTTGTATTTGGGACATATATTAAGTATTTGTTTGTTGGAGACTCTAATTTAGCTATGTTTGTTTTTGTTTGCTAAATAACCGCACCCCCACTTCTGCGCATTGAAGGAATTGAGCTGATAATGCTGCAAAGCTGATCCCGAACTACTGGTACTGTAGCGGCCCCACCTCCTGGATTAGCCCGCACTAATCGGTTCTCTTTCAAAGCGAAGGTGCTCTTTGTAGAATGAAATCAACTCACCTATCCCATGACCAGGGGCTCCCTTGAGGTAGGATAGAAGAAATAAAGTCAGGTAGAAAGGAGAAAGGAAATCAAACATTTAAAAATTGTATTTTAGGACCGGGGATGTAGCTCAGTTGGGCGGCGCCTGCCTTGTTTGGGGTCCTGGGTTCGTCCCTGGTACAAAAAACAACAAACAAACAAATATATATTCCCCTGTTCCCTACTGTATTGTACTTCATCTCATGCCTCTTTTACTGAGGCATCCCAAAAATTCTTTTTCAGCAACCCTGCATACTTACTTTAAAGGGGTCGTCTAAGGGCCGTGTTTCAGCCTCAGGGACCTGAGACCCAGGCCCCTCACTTGTCCCGCCCACCACCTGGCTGCCAGTTCCTCATAGCTAAAGTTTGTGCTTAGACTTTGTCTTGCCAGGGAGACCCTGCCCAACACCGTCAGGTTAGTTTGTTGCTGTGCTCTGTGCCTGTGGCCTTCACACTCAGCTGTGCATGGATCCTGTTTTCTTTTTCTGACTGGCCTTTCTTTCATCAGAGCATAGCTTCCTGAGGGCAGGACCGTATCTGACTTACTACTGTCTTCCTGGGCCTGGGCACTGGGTGGGGCATACGGCAGGTGCTCGAGAAAGATGTGTCACAAATGAGAGCATGGCTGCTTGGCCTCATTCAAGGCTCGCTTCAGTCTGGCCCCTAGGTCAGGCTGCCGTCACAGGGACACTCAGTAAAGCCGCGTCTAATAGAGGCGTATCCCCAACGTGCCCGGGAACCAAGGACGGGTGGGGACTGAGGAGGTGACGAGCGCCAACCTCAGAGATCTGGCCCGGCTGGGACCCGAGGCAGGGAGGGGAGGCCCGGAGCAGAGAGAGGCCAAGAAGGATCAGGACCCGGTTAGCAGAGCAGCAGCCACACAGGGGCCCTTTTAACAAATGCTTGCTCCCATGACCAGGCCTTGTGCTGGGCTCAGACAACACAGCCGGAGCCTGCTGTCGCTGCCATCCAGAGCTCATGTTTGTGTAGCAGAGAGAAATCAAGGGGCCAGGTTGTGCCTCGGATACAGTGTGTTGCTAACCCATGCAAGGGCCTGGGTTTGATCCCAGCGCCCTCTTCCCCGCAAACACTCATTGCCGGACCAAGCAGCTGCCAGGGCTGGGAGGCGGAGCCACACCCATCCACCTCACACGTTTCCTGCACACTGCCCCACAGGCCCGGCCCCTTCTCCAGACCCGGGAAGTCACAAGGTGAGTTCCAAGCAGGACCTCCATCTGCCGGCCCAGGCCCAACACTACAGAGATGCCAGGCCCAGCCCTGGGCCATCCCAGTGTCCAGCTGTTCTGTCCTCCAGGGTGACCACGGAAGACCAACTCCTGCGGGGCAGGCACAGTGGGGAAGCAGCCTGACACTTTGACCGCTAAACCCCTCATGTTGTCTCTGGGCCGGGGCCTTGAATACCAATACTCAGGGAGTCCCTTCCGAGGTAGGATGGGGAGGAAGTCAGTCTTCAGTGTTTTATTCGTTTGGTGGTACTGGGGATCAACCTAGGGCTTTCAACATGCTGGGTAAGACATCCCTAGCGCCCTGGTCCTCTATTCACGGAGGGATAGCAGAGTTTAGAAAATGTTTCCTTTGGGTTCTTTTAGGACTCTGTAGCTCAGTGGTAGAGCACATGCCTGGCATCCATAAGGCCCTGGTTCAATCCCCAGCACTGCCATTAAGAGTTCCTTTGTACTCCGGAGTCTGAATATTCTTTCTTGGGCCACTAAGCCTGTTGAGGCCCACAGTTAAGTGTGTAATACTTCTTTTTTCCACTGGACTCTGCCCTAGCCTGGCGAAAGGGGTAGTGCTCGCTTTTGGCCACGAGAGGGCGACAGAGCGCCCTTGTAAGCAACCCCTCCACCTGGTGATCACAGTTGTGCATGATACCTGGTGGTCATAATTGTCCACAGTTGTCCAAGAAAATACGAAGTGGCCCGTGAGGATGGAGAGCCCAGGTAGGGAGTCGCCCAGGAAGCTGGAGAGCCTCAGGAAAGGCCTGTGCTTTAGACGCCTGGGTCTAGGAATTCTCCCAAACAGCCCACTGCTAGGTGGCAGTTGATGGGGACAGGCTCTTAGCTCCCACCCAGAAGTTTCGCAGGGGTCTCTTCCCGGTGGGACAGGCAGTCCTGAAGGACGCACTCTCTCCTAATCAGCCTGTCACCCCAAAGCAAAATTAAACCAGTAAACACTGGTCTGAATTGCAAAGTTTGTTCAAAAATAGGTTTTACATTGCCAATCTAAACAAATTTTTTTAAATGTGCTTGGAAGAGGCAAATTTGGGATGAAGTTATTAAAATTTAAGCATCAAAAGAGCCCTTGGTGCAGCCCTAAAAGGAGGAAATCCAGACACCTGCTCCGTGCAGGACCTTGCGGGCATTGTGCTCGGCGGGACGGGACAACTTCCTCAGTTTCCTCCTGGAACCTCCGGCTCCCCGGGCTCCTGGCGGGAAGTGTGGCGTGGCTGTCACCACAGTGCCCTCCTCCTGCCCACCTCTCTGAGGGACTGGCCTGGAAACTGCCACGATGGTGGCAGAGATAGGGAAGGATCCAGGCCCATTACTAACATCTGTGACCCCCGCCCCCCCATCAAGCTGAGATCGGCAGTCAGCCCTCCTGGACGTGCCCCGTTCTAGCCTTGACATTTTTGCTGGTGCAACAGCTGTCAGTCAAGCAGCTGTGTCTCGTCACTCCCCCACCTGCCACTGTGACAGCTGTGTCTGTCCTGGATGCCAAAACCCACTCCAGCAAGTGTCTACCTAACTGCAGCAGGCTTGAACCAAGCAGTAGAATTAAATTCGGACCAATCAGCAGGCTGGAATTACAAGGTTTGAGGGCACATTTGGACCAATCAGCAGGCTTGAATTTGGACCAGTCATAAGCCTGTTGCTGCTATTTAAACAGAACTCCCCTCGGCTTCTAGGGTTGCTTTAGGAGAGTTCCTTCTTGAGCTCTGAGACCTCTGTGCTGCAGCCCAGATCCTATAGATCCTGTAAATCTACTCATGGTTTATTTCTCAGGTAGTGTGGGCTCAGAAGTTCCCATACATCTATCTTCTTGGGTTGTTTGGCCTCAGTAGTCTGGACAACATGGTTTCTAAAAAGATCCATAGCAGGGTGTGGTCTCACATGCCTGTAATCCTGGGAGACTGAGGCAGGAGGATTGCTGCAAGTTCAAAATGGAGGCCAGCCTGCGCCATGTGAAAAGAGCTGTAAATACTTGGAGGCTGTTAACCTGAAGATCTCCAGAAACCAGCAGCTGACAAAGATGAGCAACAGAGACAGGCAGCAGGTAGTGTAGACCGGTGGCATCTGGCATTGATTGGTGTTGATCAATGGCATTGTCCAGCAGCAGCAGCAGCAGCAGCAACGAGCACCGGTTGGTGGCATCAGGGCTCCAAGGTGTAACCCGAAGGGCTTCAGGGCCACTGGCACTCAAAGACCAGAGCTAGTAGAGCTGCACTTTGCCAATTAATGACTTTTACATGAAGCAAAGAACCCTCAACTGGCTAATGACAAAAGAAGCTGGATATAAAGAGGCAGATGCCATATGGTTCCACTTAGGTGAGGTCCCTAGAGTACTCAAGAAGACCAGAAGTAGGATGGGGCTGCTGGAACTGGAAGGGGTGGGAGTTAGTGTTTAATGGCTACAGTGTTTCAAGATAAAGCACTCTGGGGAAGGATAGTGGAGAGGGTTTGTCTCAGGTACTTTTCTCCTTGCAGAGACAAAGTGCCTGACCTCCCAATTTAAGGGAAGAAAATATTTGGCTTGCAGTCTATAGAGGTTTCAGTCCACAGTCAGCTGGCTCCAAGGCGGGGTGGCCCAGCCGAGGGAAATCACAGAGGAGAAGCAGTTCATGGTGAGCAGAAGGTCCCAAAGCAAGGCTTTTTCTGCCCCTTTTATACTCTGTCTAGGCTAGTGGGGTTGGAGTGGCGCCAAACTAGTCAGTGGACTGATGTAGTAATCACAGAGCCCTAATCCCAGCATCACACACTCTAGATTCAGCCGCTTCTGAAAAAGCCCCACCATGACCACTTGAGGCTTTGGGGGGACCTCTAGATACAAACTCTAACGGGGTTGTACAACATGGTGAATGTACCGGACATTACTTAAAAATGGCTCAATGTGGTGGTGTGGTTTGGGTCTAGAGGACCCCCCAAAGCCTCGTGTGGCAATAGGCTGGCTCTAGAATGTGTGACGCTGGGATTAGGGCTGTGTGATTGCTATTTCAGTCATGATGCC